AGCCCAAGCCAGCCTGCTCTAGGACGAGAGACCACGCGGAGGAGGAAAACTGAGGTTCCTCGGTGGACCTGAGTGGACGGTGGACAGATGCATCAGCGAGCCCAGCCAAGATCGGCCACGCTTGGCCTAGACCAGAAGAGCCCCTGAGCGGAGCCCAGGCCAGACTCCCAAATCCCACAATTTCAGGATGAGCTAATAAAAGATGCCAACTCATTTCATCATATCCTCATAAGGGGCAATGTCTTTCACAAGTAGAGCTACAATCTAATTTCACTCAATGGATACCTGGTAGACCCCTACTGTTACATGCTGGGATTGCTGTAGACACTGACAATATAAAAATGGGGGGGGGGGTGAAAAACATTCCTGCTTCATAACGCTTGTGTTCCAGGGGTAAGAGGCGGAAATGTTTTAAATGACTATGTCCGATACATTGAACAGAAATGATAAGCGCTCTGGAGAAAATAAATAATAGTGTATAACACAACGTCGCAGGCACCACTTCAGTGGAGAGGGGATGCAATATTAAATGGGAAAGCCGGACAAGACCTCTGCGAGGAGGAGGTAAAGTGATTAGAGGTCTGATGAAGATGAGGGAATGAGCCTCACTGAAATCTAGGGGACAAGTCCTCCTGGGAGAGGGAGCAGCAAATGCAAAGATGGGCTTCCAAGGGCGAGCTGCAGCCAAGGGGAGAGTGTAGGGTTTGAAAGCAGAGAGATGAAAGCGGCGCCAGGCTGTGTAGGGCCTTGTGGGCCACTATATGCAGTTTTTTTTTTTTATAAACTCTCATACTGTTCTAATTTTTTAAACCAAATGGGTATGTCCCTTTCAAGACAATAATTTTAAAGAAATATATAGAGCAAAAACGAATAGCAGTCCTGAGCTGCTCGCCCAGGTTCCATGTTAGTGGACTTTACGTGCATTTTATCATAATCCCTGGTCACTGTGTTCTTAGAGCTTTCTGGAGCCTGCAGGAGAGGACTGTGATTGTTGAGCACAGGCTGCCCTCTGCTGGTCACCTTTGGATGAGCGCCCAGAAGAATCGCCAGAAGCAGCTAAGTCACTGTCCCAGGAGAAAGCAGATAACCAGTTATCAGAACATCCCGTATTCCTTGACAGTCAAGCTTAACCGTCTCAGGAAACCCTTGAAGTACAGGG